AATACGACTGCGAATACGAATACGAATACGAATACGAATATGAATACGAATACAAATAGTATTAGGAGTAGGAATAGGGATACAAATACGACTGCGAATACGAATACGAAGGCACGCGTCTAGGTACATTCAAGTGTAACACCATTAGGATATCAGAATACCTAGCTAATATAACAAGTACGAAAGGTAATCAAACATTACATCAAAATTCAATAACTAAACTTACTTTTAGGAAAATATAGGATTTTCCTGGGATAACAATTGTACATAACCAGATTTGTGTAATAAAACAGTTAATCAAACTTTACATATAAGAAAATATAGGATTTTCTTGGTTAACAATTTTTTCGGAAACCAAAAAGGGAACTCGTACATTTTCAAAAACAAACATTTTATGAACTCACCAGCTTTATGCTGATTTTCAAACCGCTTGTATTCTCAGGTCCATATTAGACAGGTACCCAACGATCCTTTTGGAGAAGACGGAGCGTACTGAACACTCGTCTCTACTTTTGTTCATATATATGTATAACACTTGTAACACGTTACTTTTGAACAGATGTAAATTCTAATATGTAATGTAATGGTTGTTTACTTTGCTTACTATGTACATTGGATTTGATACTCAACGTGGAGTCCGCCCCGGAACGTTTCCGCCTTAGGTTTCGGGGTGTGACATATTGTCCTTTAGTTCAAATGCAAACCCAATGGTCGTTGTATTAATGAGAAACAATTGGAAAAGGATTTAGAGAGATATGTACCTCAGAGCAAGATACAGTTGGTATTGTCATGTATGGTGTGAATTATACACTAGAACACAAGGAGACTCCAAACAATAAGCCACAGATTCAATCTACTTCAGAATTTTATTTTGTTTTGATGTTCATAAACAAACTTGGTTTTTAGTGTCTTCTTGCAGATAATTTTTCTTGAAATCTCAAGGCGTAATCGATTTAATTTGAATCACTTAAATATGAATCTTTCATCCATTATCGTTTGATTTGATTTGTATTTGAGGCAATTCATATTAGATTTGATTTGTGTTTGAGGCTATTCAAATTTATGACCTAACATGGAACTTGTTTCAAGAATCTATTTCAAGAAACCTTAATTATAACATTGTAGTTACAAAATACACTTGCTATAACAAAGATTAATTTTTTTTTTTGGATAAAGGTAGTACATAACCCGTTTTTTGTCGATGCTATTTCGTAAGCTCAAGCTTCAAATATTAACAACTTAATGGTGAAATCAAAATTTTATAACTTAATAACATGTGTAGAAACCGTGTGTTCTTATGGGATAATTACCTACATCACAAAAGTCAAAAGGTAAAGCCACAAACAGTGACACACATGACCTTTTTAAGGTTAACCCCAACAAAGACATGAACTCTTCATATTTTGTATTACCTTTTATAATTCTTATTGCATAGTGTTCATAGACAAATGGATTCCCACATTGTTTCGAAATCAAGTCTTGCTTTTAGGTTTTTATTATGAAGGAAGCTTTTAGATTTACTTTTGTTGTTGTGAACTATCATTTTTCCTTTCTTATGGAAAGTTTATTTGTGTTTTTGTTTTCTTTTCGTTTTTGGAATTTTAGGGGATTTATTTTGTTTGTAGCTACTTCTTTTATTTATATACCCATATGAAATAATCTGTAGAAATTTGTATTTACATGTTTTCCAATTTTAAGATTTAGGCTATAATTAAAATATACTTTTTTATTAGGATTTTTGATAGTTGAAGCACCTAAGGTTTTATAATGAAGTGAAGTAAGTGCAAAATCAGAAAATCACAAAATGTGGTACCATTCAACTTTAGAAAATTTTCCTTTGGAAGGTAAAAATGTAAATTACTCTAGGTTTATTTTCGGCAACTTCATTTTTATGTTACTCTTCTTTTTAATCTTACTTTGTTTCTGTGTTGTTTACTTTGCAAGGATATGCGTCAAACTAGGAATAAGAAAAACCCAATGCATGTTGATGTTTGAAGTTGTTTATTTATTTTACTTAATAAGAGAGTGCTTCAGCCTTTTTTATACAAAAGTGTTGACTTTTATAAGATCCGTGTGATGATTACTTTATTTAGAAGTTTTTATAACATCATTGTATCTTTTTCTTATGAAAAATAGTGAAAAAGAAACACTAGAGAAGGCCTTATACGAATAATCTTAAGAATGATCTTAACCGATGCTCATTTCGAATGAAAACGATGGAAATGGAAAGAAAGAAAGTTATTATCTTATTCGGGTTCTTGAGTTCAAGAGATGGTGAAGCAAAATTTACAACTTTCATATTCTAATAGATTTAGTACTTTCTATGACTGTTGTGTACGTATATTTTTTTGCTTTTCAAGACATCCTATTTAAAAAAAAAACATTTCCAATTATAACATTGTTCTTTCATAATTCTTCTTACCAAAAAAAATATCCAAATTATCTTTCATGGGTTGTGCTTAGCACAATCCCTAAACATACCTAGTTTAGAATATATGTACCTAAAGATTACAATTGGATTAATTTACTTGCAAAGCATGACATAGAAAACACAAGCTTATTATAACATTAATGTACATTATAATATTAAGGAATGCACTAAAAGCAAACATTTATTTTATCAATTCGAACATCGAGATAAAACACACATACAACATTGTTAACAAATGAACAAACTCGATTTTAAATATATGGGCATGTTTAGGATTGTTTCTCAGGCTTTTTGAAAAGCCATAAATATTTGATTTTTTACAAAACCATTTAAAAATTAATATTTTCAAACACCTTTTTTAATTATTATTATTAATTTTTAGAAAAGCCAATATCAATAAATCATTTTAAAAACACTCCAAAACACCCATTATAAACATAAACACATAGAAAACAAAAGGAAATTGTTTTTTGGTTTGTACAGAAATCTAGGGTTTTTGTTTTGACAAGCCTTAATGGGCCAAATCCGACATCCATGGACATCAGCGAGTCAAGTTTTTTCCTCTTTCTTATCAAATCCTCCTCGTTAAATCATTCGATTTCAATCCAATTTCATCTCTCTCTTCTTGCAGCCCAGGTCAAATAATTTCTCCCCAATTCCCCCCTCACCTTCTTCCTACACTTCATCCCCCCAAATTTTGCTGCTTCTCCGATCTAACAACTCACGTGTTTACACGCAAGCACATACGATTGCGTTGAACGAAGATGGATGGAAGTCAACCCTACAACCCTCGAACTGTCGAAGAAGTTTTTAGAGATTTTAAGAGTCGAAGAGCTGGCATCATCAAAGCCCTTACTACTGGTCGATACTAGAAACCCTTTGCTTCTTTTGAATTTTTCAACCAAAATTACTTTTCACTGTTCGTTTTCTGAAGCTTACCTGTTGAATTTGCTAAAGTTTGTCATCTAATTTTGATTTTGTTCGAGTTTTCACAGATGTAGAAGAGTTTTATCAGCAGTGCGACCCTGGTTAGTGTTCTTTTCGTTTAATTCCGTTCAAATAGGGTTTAACAATTCATGAAAATCCTGCTAACGGACATTTACAGAAAAAAAATTGCACTTACAGAAGTAAACACAGTGTCCAGTAAGCGGGATTTTAGGAAGAATTTTGGGAGGATATATCAATAATCTTAACTATATCTGCTACTCTCTTCTTTCCACGAAAATTCAACTATGGAAGTCTTCGATTGTAACGAAAATATCATAGACACCATTAAATACCAACAAAATAATCGAATCTTTTTAAGAGAAATCAACATCACATATCTCAAAAGTTTTCAGACATCCAAAAATGGGCATTACAATTTCCATAGACGGAAGGAAGGAAGTATAATTTTGTTCTTCTGTGTACATCTGGACGATTTACTCTATTTTAGTGTTGAAAAATATGTCCTTCAATTTTCATGTACTTTAGTGTTGCTTTTGCTTTATGTCATAATAATAATGGTACACATAATACAGTTGCTACTGTCATTACAGGGCTTCAACTGCAGGAATTCTAGTGCTTTCCATTGATTACCTTAATTAAATGACACATGTTACATGTATTAATGGCTGTTACTTGTTTTATTATCTTTCTTGTATTGGGTGCTTCACAAAAGAGTGATAATTCATAATATTGTTTTGAATATTACATTTTGTTTTTGTTGTTGTTGGAAAACATAACAGAAAAGGAAAACCTGTGTCTGTATGGATTCCCTAATGAGCAATGGGAAGTGAATTTGCCTGCTGAAGAGGTCCCACCAGAGCTTCCGGAACCTGCACTTGGAATTAACTTTGCTAGAGATGGCATGCCAGAAAAGGACTGGCTAGCTTTAGTTGCTGTTCATGGTGATGCATGGCTTCTTTCTGTTGCCTTCTATTTTGGGGCCAGATTTGGATTTGATAAAGCTGATAGGTATTATGGTAACTTTTCATGATTCAAGATCCCATTAAAGTTGTTATTATTAAGTATTAACCAAATTGGAATATACAGGAAGCGCCTTTTCAACATGATAAATGATCTCCCAACAATCTTTGAAGTTGTGTCAGGGGCAGCTAAGAAGCAAGTGAAGGAGAAGTCAACCGTGTCAAACCACAGCAGCAGCAAGTCAAAGTCAAACTCTAAGGTTCTCAGTCTTCTGTATTTCTATTCCTTTCTGTTTTCTATCACAAAGCAAATGAAATAAAGTCCATTTTTATATTTTGACATGTCATGTATATTTGTTTTGGTTGTTAAAAAAGGCGAAAGGGTCTGAACCACCTGCTAAGTTTCCAAAAGTGTCAACACCAAAAGATGATGATGATGAAGGTTTGGATGATGAAGATGAAGAGGAACATGGTGACACGTTATGTGGTTCATGTGGTGAGAATTATGCATCTGATGAGTTTTGGATTTGCTGTGATATTTGTGAGAAATGGTTCCATGGTTCCTGTGTGAAGATAACTCCAGCAAGAGCTGAACATATCAAGCAGTATAAATGCCCTGCTTGCACCAACAAAAGAGCTCGCCCATGATCATGATCATGATCATGTATGTATCCATCAATCAATCAGTGTAAGTCTGTTTTTATGGAGAAAGTGAAAGTGGAAGTGGAAGTGGAACATGGTGTTTGTAGGGTTTAAATGTGCATTTCATTGAAATTAGTGACAGGGTCTTTATTTTAGTTTTTAACTAGCTGCAACAAACTTTTTCTTTCTTATAATGGAAGATTGGATTTTATGTGTTTGTCATATTCTATTTTGCTATGTTCACAAGGTAGGAAGCGATTTGTTTTGAATATCATCATATAGGAACATCTTTTTAATCATTTACTTTGTCAAGCAAAGTAATGTCTCACTTTTTACCAAAACCAGGTTATAGGTTCAATTGGATTTAACAAAATAAAGATAAAACTTGATAAGTATTTGATGGAGATGTGATGGAAAAAACGGTAAAAAACAAATGGTGACCATAAAAAAGTTTCATGATAAAGCCCAAGGGGCCTAATGACAAAGACTGTTTGGAGAATTTATATTTCCAGTCCTTCAGTTCCTCCACAATCGCATTGCTTTCTTCTTCACATCAAAACATTTGAAGGTTATCAATTATTAAAAAAAAAAACGTTTTATATAATATTAGTACCATATGTGATTGTGGACATATAATAAGATATTAGACCTTTTTGTGTATAATTGTAATTTTTTTTTTATAAGACCCGACTCGCTATTAGTAATTTTTAACTTCATTTCTACACACGTCTACCTCAATATTTTTATTTTTCTCATGTTCTTTCTTAATTGGCCACTATTCAGATTTACATGTATTATATGACGTTCGGTTGCGCATAATATATGACATTATTGACTAACTCACTAGTGTTTGAAAAGTAATAGAATTTGGGTTAAATCATCTAAAAGTTTCGCAAGATCAAAACAAAATTAGATGTTTGATTAATTTCAAATAAAATTTTAGCCGTTAAAAAAAATATTAACATAAAAAAAAAATCAATTATTAGTCGAGGAAAAGTAGATATATTTCATTATATTACAAAAGATTTACTGTTTCCGTTACCGAAGCAGCCGTTAACTGGTGAGAATTAACCTTGACCTTTGGTAACTTCCTCGAAGTGTTAACCGACACGTGTCCCCTATTACCTGATCAGCAAAACCCTCGTCCTGAAAATCCATTTCCACCCTTCCTCTCTTGGCGCCGCCTCTGTGCCCTTTCGATTTATCTTATAAATCAGTTCACTCCCGTTCTCCCTTGCCATCACTGATCGGATCTAACTTTTCATGTTAATCAGATGGTCGCCGTCAACTCTCCGGTCACCACCCTCAACCACCACCAGATATGTTCGATCCGTTTTTGGTAACTCACGTTCGCTCTCAAATTTGTTTACGTAAACGGAAAAAAAAGAGTCATTCTTAGTAATACTCTTATTAGCTTCGATCAGCTCTCTCTTTCTCTCTCTCACACACACAGACACAAATCGATAACTTATCGTCTACCACGAATTTCAGGATTAGGGTTTTTGTTTTTGTTAATTTGGGGGTTTTAGTAATTTAGTATCAGTAGCAGATTGATCAACCTAAGTTTGTAGGTAAGGTGTTTGTGGAAATTACTCAATCCGAGTAGAAGTGTTTTTCAGTGCTGTTTTGATTTGTTTGTAATATAGTTTAGCATTCAGATAAAGTGGCGAAGATGAGTTTGGGAACGGCGGAGGATGACTCGGGAACGGAAATCCATCTCCCAGCTGACATTGATTGGGAGATGCTCGATAAATCAAAGTTCTTCTTCCTAGGCGCTGCCTTGTTCTCTGGTGTCTCCGGGATGCTGTATCCCATCGTGGTGCTGAAAACGAGAAAACAAGTCCTTGTAAAAGACATGCCATGCTTGAAGCTAGCTGTCTCCATCTTACGACATGAAGGTTGTAGAGGTTTTTACAGGGGTTTTGGGACATCGTTAATGGGTACTATTCCAGCCAGAGCTCTTTACATGGGGGCATTGGAGATGACCAAGAGTAATGTCGGTTGTGTTACAGTGAAAATGGGGTTTTCAGAGGCAAAAGCAGCTGCCATTGCTAACGCTGCAGCTGGGTTAAGTGCAGCCATGGCTGCCCAAATGGTTTGGACACCAATCGATGTTGTGAGCCAGCGACTAATGGTTCAAGGTGGACATGGTGCACAGATTAGATACAATGGTGGAATTGATGCATTTAGGAAGATCATTCAAACTGATGGTGTTCGAGGGTTATACAGAGGATTTGGGATTTCAATCCTGACATATGCCCCATCAAATGCAGTCTGGTGGGTGGCTTACTCCATGGCTCATCGAGCTGTGTGGGTTGGGGTTGGTTGTTACTATCTGAAGAAAGAAGGGAATGGTGGTGGGTTTACGCCGGATTCTAAGGCGGTGGTGGCAGTGCAGGCGGCAAGTGCCGCCATGGCTAGTGGGTTTTCGGCGGTGGTGACAATGCCATTGGATACAATCAAGACAAGGCTGCAAGTTTTAGATGGTGAAGGGAGTAATGGGAAGCCGAGTGTTGTGCAGACAATAAGGAATTTGGTGAAGGAAGGTGGATTGAGTGCTTGTTACAGAGGATTGGGGCCAAGATGGGCTTCAATGTCTATGTCTGCAACTACAATGATCACCACCTATGAGTTCCTCAAGAGGCTATCTACAAAGAATCAAGATTGCCATGTTTAGAAAAAAGATACAGGAATAAGGGAAAAGAAGGGTTGTGTTGGTGTTTGGTTAAAAGTTAATTGCTTAAAAGTTATAACCCTTTTTTTTTTTTTTTTGATGATGAGTATGAGTGTTGACCAGGTTGGTGATATACAAATGTAGAAACTGTAAATATGTAGGTGCAAGTTGTTATAGTATGTAATGGATGTTCTTGTTAATCATCAATAATCTAATTCTCTTTGATGCATGGAACACTCAAATGATCATAGACTTGTGTATACACTACACACACACGCACACTTACTCACACTTACTCAAATGATCAAGAAATGAAGAATTGGAAAAACTTGAATCTCTCCAACATTTGATTTCACCATATGATTCTAAAACCGAAAACCCCACAAAGTGAGTTTTTCTAGGGTTAATTTTTTTTGAAATTCCAAAAATTAAAAATAAATTGCTATTAAGGTGGATTACAAGACGTGGCTACCAAACAATAAAGACAAATTACATATTAATGCCACATCCGCCATGTTACCGGGGAACCACTTAAATTCGAGAGAACGACTTAATTGACAGATTATAAATAAATTTAATGATCTATTGCACAATAAAAGGTTTAGTGAACAAATCGGAGTGACATTTTCCTTAGGAAAAAAAGTTTGAATCAAAATAAATACTAGAACAAAAAAGAAAAGAAAAAAAAAGAATAGCCTATGCAATAAGAAGTCAATAAGTTAAAACCATTATGAAAATGGATTATTTACACATAAATAATTTACATCAAAAGTTCTCACATTCAACAAGGATTTAGATAATAGATACCTAGAAATATTCAAACTAGAAATAATCAAACTAGGATGAAAACTTAGACCATCCACAACGGTATCTTTCAAGAAATTTGCAATGCCATATTTTCACTATTATCAAGCCACCTATGATGAGTTCTTTCCAAATTTGAAAGCCTTGCAATCCTTACACCTCTATATTTTAATGATATATTTATATCAAGAATAATATACTATATATTTTAATATTATGATTATATTTATATCTATAATAATGTATTACCATGTGTATATCTTTACTATCTTATAAAACAAATCCCATTATTTCTAAAAATAGATTGAATAAAATAATAATATTTTTTAAGACGTTCAAATCATTAAGCTAATTGTACAACTAATCACTAATAAAATAATATTAAAATTTAAACAAACTCCTATAAATCTTATATTCCAAAGTTTTGACCAGATCTTTTTTCATCCAAATAAATACTCAACATCCTATAATTTGATCATTTTCTTAATTTTCTTTATTTTTAATATGACATGTTTCCTAAAATAAACTAATGATTGAATTGAGATTAATCATTCTCCATCGAAAAGAAATTAATTGTCGAAATAAACTATTTATCGCCCGCCGCTTTGCGCGGGTAAACGGCTACTATATATATATATATATATAATATATATATATATATATATATATATATATATATATATATATATATATATATATATATATATATATATATTAAATCACATAGGAAGTTTCAACCGGAAACTTTTCATGTTTCTAATTTTAACACTATATTTTTATTTTTTCTTAGTTTTATCACTAAGGTTTCAACAAACTTTTCATTTTTATAATTTTGCCCCTTTATTTTTACTTTTTTATATTTTTGCCACTAAACATTCACTTTTACTTCTTTAAAACCTTTTATCTTTATTCTTTTATAATTTTACCACTTTATTTTTATTTTTTTATAATTTTGCCACTAAAGTTTCAATAAAATTTTTCCTTTTTATAGTTTTTATACTTTATTTTTATTAATTTTGCTATTAAAATTTCAACAAATTTTTCATCTTTATAATTTTGGCACTTTATTTTTACTTCTTTATATTTTTGCCACTAAACTTTCACTCATGCAAGACACAGACCTTTTCCTAGTTTATATTTAACTCTAATGAAAACTATTTTATAACCTTACGTTATTATAACACAAAACAATTAATATATGTAACACTTTTTTTAATAAAATAGCAAATTAAATAAATTAATATTTAAATGCTATGTCATTTTTTTAGACTGGATCGAACTGAACGACTTCTTAAAAACTTGTTTGATATAATTTATTAGACTTGTATAGTTGGATTTTATTTAGTCCGTTAAAAACATAACACATTTCTAAAGAAAATTGAACATTTTCAAAGTGCATATAACTCAAAGGCCGACACATACCACATCAGACATAGAGAATTTTCTTGATTGAATCAGTGGCTGAACTAGTTGAACCGACAATCGAACCGAGAACAGCAGTTCAACTAAAAATCAATTTTTAAAAATATATATATATATATATATATATATATATATATATATATATATATATATATATATAAAGTAATAGTTGATGTGACAGTGGGGACCACTTTTGAAGGTGAGTGTTATTGCACTGATGTGAGTAGTTATTGCAAAATTGATGTGTCACAATTGAAATATTAATGACATTGCACTGATGTGGATGATCTTAGGTCTTGTTTCGCACTCGCACAGTAGTTGAAAAATTAGGTGGTAGCTAATAAGTTACTTGAAGTTATCTTATATACTAATAGTATTTAGTAAAAAATAGTTTATAAGCTAGATTGCAAACTTCAACTTTTTTTTAGCTTTATGGTCCTTTTAGCCATGTTTCTATATGGTTTTAGTCCCGCTGAAAACTGAAATTACTGTACTACACTTATGTATTTATTTTTTATTTTCTTTCATTCTTTATCTATTTAAATAATTAAAAAAAAATAATAAAACCCTCTTTCCCCCTCCCCCCATCTCTCTCTCTCTCTCTCTCACACACACACACATACACACAACAGTCCTTCAACCTAGATTTATTTCATGGAACCAATCTTCCACCCCACGATCATCTCCCCATCCTTATATTTTTTTTTTTGGCATTTGATAGTTTGGAATAAGTTGTTATCACGTACTGCATTTCTTGTTTATTGCTTTCTCTCACATTTGATAGGAAAATACGATCCAGCTGGTGAAGAAGAGCCACTTATCCAGTCAATTGAATGACGTATCTGCCCGGGAGGAGAGTCAATTTACTTGAAAAGACATCCTATAGTTTTCAAGCATATGTAAAGATTCCACCAGCTTAGGTTCGATTACAGGTCCAAAATCACCAATTGGCTTCAATTTATATTCACATATTTTCCCCTAAAATCCCCCAAATTTACCAAATTAAGATTACAATTTCACGGTTCATAAACCAATTAGAGACTTGGAAAACGTAATTGACGTAAACATTAAATAAATGAACGATTGAAGGATGATTAAAGATACACTCCCTATTGACAAAATAAAAGTCATAATAAAGTAATTTGGGTCTAATTCCTTGCCGCCGGTAACCTGCATCTATGTCAAAAGTCGTTACAGGAGTTTTGAGAATATTGGAGTTATTGAGACCAAGATTAGTAATTGTAACGACCCAATTTTCACATCCAAAAATTTCGTTTGTAAAACATTACCTTGAAAGCATTAATGATTAAAACATTGTTTAATTAAACCATTTCACATCGAAAACCTAATTTGAAATCCACAACATGTAAACAATCAAAACATCAGAGTATCAATCCCAAAATAAGCTCATAACTGCGGAAACAAGAGTGTGTGTGTGTGTGACATGCTGCTACCGCACTGACTCTTTTCCCCTAGCTGAGGAGGTACCTGAAACCAAAACTGAAAAACGTAAGCACAAAGCTTAGTGAGTTCCCCCATCGTACCACATACCTTACAAACACATAACATACATACCGCCAGGCTATTCTGGGGTGCTTGTTAACCCGGTACGGCCATTCTGGGGTGCCGACTACCCGTGCGGCCATTCTGGGGTGCCGCCCTACCCGTGTCAAGCCATTCTGGGGCGCTGACCTACCCATGTCGAGCCATTCTGGGGTGCTGACTACCCTTCGGTCCTAACAACCGAACCTCGGGGACTATTTCACCCCCTACTACTACTATCACATTTACACATAACATAAACATATTATCAGACATATCTGGGGTGCCTGAACTACCCTTAGGTCCTAAAACCCGGGGACTGGTCCCCTCCTACTACCTCTATCGCATAAACATAACAACCCAGCATGCAACACATCATCACATACTGTCAGAAGTATCTGGGGTGTCTGACTACCCTTCGGTCCTAACAACCGAACTCTACTACTTTCACATACAACATATCATGCTAGCACATAACATATCAGGTAGTAGCAATCCTAGATGATATCACAAAGACAATCATCTATCATACGAACCCTACTGGTGGGCCGGCATTGTGGCCGTAGACCCACCGCTACTGGAAGGTAACTCACCTCGAAGTAGCTGCTGATCTGATCGGGAACTGACTGTCTACTGCTACTACTGCTGCCCCGGAAATCCTCCGGCTGCAACTCCCACAACATACTCAATCAATCACTGCTAACTGACCTTTGGATAAAATGACCATTTTACCCCTGATCATGTCATAAGTCAAAGTCATAGTCAACTTTCAGTTGACCCGACTCGCCGAGTTGGCTCTCTAACTCGCCGAGTCCCTGTCTAATCGATTGTCCTGGATCCCGTCCCTACTCGTCGAGTTAGGCGTTGACTCGACGAGTTCTTCTTCTAAACTGAGGTTCAAGTCCTTCATCCTACTCGTCGAGTTGTATGAACAACTCGCTGAGTTCATCTTCATCCGAAGAACACTTTATGCTGTGACTCGCCGAGTTGTATGAACAATTCGCCGAGTCTGTTCTTGATCTAAGGAGATTGCCTTGAACTCGCCGAGTCAAGGCATGGACTCGCTGCGTTCCTCCATGGATGAGTTTGGCTTCCAACTCACTGAGTCACACCCCGTGACTCACTACTCGCACTCGACACAACGAAAAGGGGACAACTCGGAGACTCGCGAGCAGACTCGCTGAGTCATCGCCATGCAATCACTATATACGCGATTTTGCTCGATTCCAGTCTATGCCACTCACAGATCTGGGTTCTTAGAACATGAATGACACGTAAAGTTTCCAACTTTACGTGTAGATACTGTCACACCCCAAAACCAAGAATAGCGGAAACGTTCTGGGGCGGAGGACGTCATGTAAA